CTCTCGCTCTCCTCCAACACTACTCACTCTGCCCCTACTCAGATGGTAATGTGCCGTCGCAACCTTCGCTCTCTCTCTCCATCTACTCTCTCCTCTTCCATCCTATCATCTCTTCCCTCTGCTAAATCCTTCTCCCTCCGATCTCCTGATTCTGCCTCCTCAACCCTCTCCTCACTTTTTGCATCTTTTGACTCTCTATGTCCCCTATCCTCCCGGCCGGCTCGGTCCTCCCCCCCTGCTCCGTGGCTTGACGACTCATTGCGAGCTCACAGAACAGGGCTCCGGGCAGCCGAGTGGAAATGGAGGAAAACTAGACTCCCTGCGGACCTGTCATCTTTTCACTCCCTCCTCTCTACATTTTCTTCCTCTGTTTCTGCTGCTAAAGCCACTTTCTACCACTCTAAATTTCAAGCCTCTGCCTCTAACCCTAGGAAGCTATTTGCCACCTTCTCCTCCCTGCTGAATCCTCCTCCTCCCCCTCCCTCCTCCCTTTCTGTGGATGACTTCGTCAACCATTTTGAAAAGAAGGTTAACGACATCCAATCCTCATTTATTAAGTCAAATGACACCGCTGGTCCTGCTCACATTGCCCTACCCTATGCTTTGACTTCTTTCTCCCCTCTCTCTCCAGATGAAATCTTGCGACTTGTGATGGCCGGCCGCCCAACAACCTGCCCGCTTGACCCTATCCCCTCCTCTCTTCTCCAAACCATTTCCGGAAACCTTCTCCCTTACCTCACCTCGCTCATCAACTCATCCTTGACCGCTGGATATGTCCCTTCCGTCTTCAAGAGAGCGAGAGTTGCACCCCTCCTCAAAAAACCTACACTCGATCCCTCCGATGTCAAAAACTACAGACCAGTATCCCTTCTTTCTTTTCTCTCCAAAACTCTTGAGCGTGCTGTCTCTAGCCAACTCTCCTGCTATCTCTCTCAGAATGACCTTCTTGATCCAAACCAGTCAGGTTTCAAGACTGGTCATTCAACTGAGACTGCTCTTCTCTGTGTCACGGAGGCTCTCCGCACTGCTAAAGCTAACTCTCTCTCCTCTGCTCTTATCCTTCTAGACCTATCTGCTGCCTTTGATACTGTGAACCATCAGATCCTCCTCTCCACCCTCTCCGAGTTGGGCATCTCCGGTGCTGCTCACTCTTGGATTGCGTCCTACTTGACAGGTCGCTCCTACCAGGTGGCGTGGCGAGAATCTGTCTCCGCACCACGTGCTCTCACCACTGGTGTCCCCCAGGTCTCAGTTCTGGGCCCTCTCCTATTCTCTCCATACAACAAGTCACTTGGCTCTGTCATATCCTCACATGGTCTCTCCTATCATTGCTACGCAGACGACACACAATTAATTTTCTCCTTTCCCCCTTCTGATAACCAGGTGGTGAATCGCATCTCTGCATGTCTGGCAGACATATCAGTGTGGATGTCGGATCACCACCTCAAGCTGAACCTCGGCAAGATGGAGCTGCTCTTCCTCCCGGGGAAGGACTGCCCGCTCCATGATCTCGCCATCACGGTTGACAACTCCATTGTGTCCTCCTCCTAGAGTGCAAGGAACCTTGGCTTGACCCTGGACAATACCCTGTCGTTCTCCGCTAACATCAAAGCGGTGACCCGATCCTGCAGATTCATGCTCTACAACATTCGCAGAGTACGACCCTACCTTACACAGAAAGCGGCACAGGTCCTAATCCAGGCACTTAAATAAATAAAAAATATGCCATTTAGCAGACGCTTTTATCCAAAGCGACTTACAGTCATGCGTGCATACATTTATTTATTTTTTGTGTATGGGTGGTCCCGGGGATCGAACCCACTACCTTGGCGTTACAAGTGCCGTGCTCTACCAGCTGAGCTACAGAGGACCACTTGTCATCTCCCGTCTGGATTACTGCAACTCGCTGTTGGCTGGGCTTCCTGCCTGTGCCATTAATCCCCTACAATTTATCCAGAACTCTGCAGCCCGTCTGGTGTTCAACTTTCCCAAGTTCTCTCATGTCACCCCGCTCCTTCGCACACTCCACTGGCTTCCAGTTGAAGCTTGCATCTACTACAAAACCATGGTGCTTGCCTACGGAGCTGTGAGGGGAACGGCACCTCCTTACCTTCAGGCTCTGATCAGACCCTACACCCAAACGAGGGCACTACGTTCATCCACCTCTGGCCTGCTGGCTCCCCTTCCTCTGCGGAAGCATAGTTCCCGCTCAGCCCAGTCAAAGTTATTCGCTGCTCTGGCACCCCAATGGTGGAACAAGCTCCCCCACGACGCCAGGACAGCAGAGTCACTGACCACCTTCCGGAGACACTTGAAACCCTACCTCTTTAAGGAATACCTGGAATAGTCTAACAGTAATCCTTCTACACCCCCCATCCCCCAGTGGTGGTTGTCCCACTGGCTATCATAAATTGAATGCACCAATTTGTAAGTCGCTCTGGATAAGAGCGTCTGATAAATGACTTAAATGTTAAATGTTAAATATACCATAATGACAAAGCAAAAAACTGAAATATCACATTTACATACGTATTCAGACCCTTTACTCAGTACTTTGTTGATCTTCTTGGGTATGATGCTACAAGCTTGGCACACCTGTAGTTGGGGAGTTTCTCCCATTCTTCTCTGCAGATCCTCTCAAGCTATGTCAGGTTGGATGGAGAGCGTCGCTGCACAGCTATTTTTAGGTCTCTCCAGAGATGTTTGATCGGGTTCAAGTCCGGGCTCTGGCTGGGCCACTCAAGGACATCCAGAGACTTGTCCCGAAGCCACTCCTGCGTTGTCTTGGCTGTGTGCTTAGGGTCATTGACCTGTTGGAAGGTGAACCTTCGCCCCAGTCTGAGGTCCTGAGCACTCTGGAGCAGGTTTTCATCAAGGATCTCTCTGTACTTTGCTCCGTTCATCTTTCCCTCGATCCTGACTAGTCTCCCAGTCCCTGCCACTGAAAAACATCCCCACAGCATGATGCTGCCACCACCATGCTTCACCGTAGGGATGGTGCCAGGTTTCCACCAGATGTGACGCTTGGCATTCACGTCAAAAAGTTCAATCTTTGTTTCATCAGACCAGAGAATCTTGTTTCTCATGGTCTGAGTCCTTTAGGTGTATTTTGTCAAACTCCAAGCGGGCTGTCATGTGCCTTTTACTGAGGAGTGGCTTCCGTCTGGCCATTCTACCATAAAGGCCTGATTGGTGGAGTGCTGCAGAGATGGTTGTCCTTCTGGAAGGTTCTCCCATCTCCACAGAGGAACTCTGGAGCTCTTTCAGTGACCATTGGGTTCTTGGTCACCTCCCTGACCAAGGCCCTTCTCCCCCGATTGCTCAGTTTGGTCGGGCGGCCAGCTCTAGGAAGAGTCTTGGGGTTCCAAACTTCTTCCATTTAAGAATGATGGAAGCCACTGTGTTCTTGGGGACCTTCAATGCTGCAGAATTTTTTTGGTACCCTTCACCAGATCTGTGCCTCGACACAATCCTGTCTCGTAGCTCTACGGACAATTCCTTCGACCTCATGGCTTGGTTTTTGCTCTGACATGCATTGTGGGACCTTATATAGACAGGTGTGTGCCTTTCCAAATCATGTCCAATCAATTTAATTTACCACAGGGGGACTCCAATCAAGTTGTAAAAACATCTGAAGGATTATCAATGGAAACAGGATGCACCTGACCTCAATTTCGAGTCTCATAGCAAAGGATCTGAATACTTTTGTAAATAAGGTATTTCAGTTTTTTTTTTTTATATGCATTTGCAAAAATGTCTAAAACTGTTTTCGCTTTGTCATTATGGGGTATTGTGTGTAGATTGATGAGGAAATTTGCCCCAAAAACAAGTCTTAAAACCTGGAATGAGAACTGGGCTTCGTGCCATGAGACCATTCTCAGCTAATATAGTGAGCTCCAAAAGTATTGGAACAGTGACACATTTGCTGTTGTTTTGGCTCTGTACTCCAGCACTTTTTATGGTATTTTCATCCATATCGGGTGAACCGTTTAGAAATTACTTCACTTTTTGTACATAGTCCCCCCATTTTAGGGGACCAAAAGTATTGGGGCAAATTCACTTATATGTATATTAAAGTAGTAAAAAATTAAGTATTTGGTCCAGTGTTTCAGATTATTTGTGTCCAATAGAAATTAATGGTGAATAATGTATTGTGTCACTTTTATTGTAAATAAGAATAGAATATGTTTCTACATTAATGTGGATGCTACCATGATTAAGGATAATCCTGAATGAATCGTGAATAATGATGAGTGAAAATTACAGAGGCATAAATATCATACCCCCCCAAAGATGGTTAGCATGTCTTGGGGGCATGATATTTGTGCATCTGTAACTTTCTCACTCATCATTATTCCCGATTCATTCAGGATTATCCGTAATCATGGTAACATCCACATTAACATATAAGTGCTTAAAAACATATTATATTCATATTTATAATAAAAGTGACTCCAAAATGACACAATACATTATTTACCATTCATTTCTATTGGGCACAAAATCATCTGAAACGCAACCAAAAGAAACAGCAAATGCATCCAACAAGTTCGTAGTCACAAGCTTGATAAGAGAGTCTGCTAAATGATGTAAATGTAAATGTAAATGTAATCATTGCATGCTATAAATTGGAAGAAATTCACTTGTGTTTGTTAAAGTAGTCTAAAGTTTCATATTTGGTCCCATGACCAAATACTAAACTTTTGACTACTTCAATAAACATATAAGTGAATTTGTCCCAATACTTTTGATCCCCTAAAATGGGGGGACTATGTACAAAAAGTGCTGTAATTTCTAAACGGTTCACAAGATATGGATGACAGCTGACAGTCTGTACTTTAACCTCATAGTCATTGTATCATTTCAAATCCAAAGTGCCTGAGTATAGAGCCAAAACAACAAAAAATATGTCACTGTCCCAATAATGTACGTCTGTTGTCTAACAGTTGTTTCTCAAGTTCAGTTTACTTTGTGCTTTAGTTAGGGTCCAGATTCACAACTCACAACTTCTTAAGAAATTGTGAATAGGGTGTGTAGGGTGTTATTACCTGGCTGGCGAAAATGACGTGGTAGGTGTCATACTGGACTGGAGGTGGGGTCCAGAAGAGGGTAACAGAGGATTCAGTGATGTCCTTGGTGTTGAGCTGGGACACACCAGACATGGCTAGAGACAGGGGAGGGGTTAGGGGCTTAGTTCCAGTCATTCAAGCCAACAAAGCCATGCAATGTTTCCTTGCAATAGCTAAAGGGATTTACTGTGGAATCGATTTTAAAGGCAATAAGGCATCCTTTTGCGCAGCTGGCACATTTCCCCCATTTAACTGTAAAGTCAATGTAAAATACAGAGTCCTATTTTCCTAAAAAGGTACAGGTCCATTAATCAATTTGTGTAAGCACCTCAAGCTGCAACATATGGTCATGGTCTACACACAGCAAGTCCATACAGTATTTGAAAACATAGCGTGGCACATATAACAGTATGTCGAATGGGATAGAAAGGAATACTATATTCCACACTGACTGTACAGTATGATATATTAACACTGCCCTGTGGCTAATACAGTGTGTACTCTTTTTCACTGGACAATATTAAAAGGCAATTGCAGCCTTGAGAGTGTTTTATGGAGAATATTTGGATGACTCACCGGTGCCACAGTCAGCTCCAGTGAACCCAGCTTCACACTGGCTGCAGTCTGGGGCGGCGAAACCACGGCGGCACACACACCTCCCCTTCACGCAGCGCCCTTTGTTGCTGCAGTTATCGGGACAGCCCTTAGCGGCGCAGTCCTGTCCACTGAAGCCCACTTCACACACGCACTTCCCATTCACGCAATTTCCCTTGTTGCTGCAGTTATTGGGACACGCTTTGGCGGAACAGTCCGGCCCCGTAAAGCCGCTATCGCAGACACATTGGCCATTCACACACTTTCCACGGTTGCTGCAGTTGCCAGGGCAGGACTTGGTAGAGCAGTCTGGCCCCGTAAAACCACTATGACACACACACTTACCATTCACACACTTCCCTCTGTTTTTGCAGTTTCCAGGACATGCCTTGGTAGAGCAGTCTGGGCCTGTGAAGCCAGTGTTGCACACACACTGGCCGTTCACACATCGCCCCTTGTTGTTACAATTTCCAGGACAGGAATCTGAAGAGCAGTCTGGCCCTGTGAAACCTGGGTCGCACACACACTGGCCATTCACACATCGCCCCTTGTTGTTACAATTTCCAGGACAGGAATCTGAAGAGCAGTCTGGCCCTGTGAAACCTGGGTCGCACACACACTGGCCATTCACACATCGCCCCTTGTTGTTACAATTTCCAGGACAGGACTCTGAAGAGCAGTCTGGCCCTGTAAAACCTGGGTCGCACACACACTGGCCGTTCACACATCGCCCCTTGTTGTTACAGTTTCCAGGACAGGACTCTGAAGAGCAGTCTGGCCCTGTGAAACCTGGGTCGCACACACACTGGCCGTTCACACATCGCCCCTTGTTGTTACAGTTTCCAGGACAGGACTCTGAAGAGCAGTCTGGCCCTGTGAAACCTGGGTCGCACACACACTGGCCATTCACACACTTTCCTTTGTCATTGCAGTTGCCGGGGCAGTCAGACAAACTGCAGTCGGGACCACTAAACCTTGGGAAGCAGACACACTTGCCGTCCTCACAGCGTCCCTGGTCACTGCACTCATTAGGACACTCGTCTCCCTCCGGCTTGATGGAGCACTCAGCACCTAGAGAGGTGGTTCGGACAGCGACACAGAGTAAAGCAGTAAGCCACTACAGTGTATTGATATTTTGAACAGATTAGTGGATAAACTATCCGTGCTGTTTCTGAAAGTGTCCCACATTGAGAGAAGGGTGGAGAGCTAAATTAGGAGGATTGTCTGAGATCACATTGGGCAGCAAGTTAGAGCTGGACCTTGTCCTATACTTGCTCTGATTGATCGAGCCCATTAGCAGAGTCCTCATTACTCAGGTCAGTTAGATCATGTGAGCATGGCTGTAGTCTGCCAGTTCAAAATGTGATCATGATTGAGGTCAGTGATGGATCGTTTTTAATATTAATGTGAGAGCTGTGTGTGCAACCTGCGTGTGTGTGTGTGTGTGTGTGTGTGTGTGTGTGTGTGTGTGTGTGTGTGTGTGTGTGTGTGTGTGTGTGTGCTCAAATGAGAACCAGTTGGGTGATTCAGTGAGATGGGAGGAGCTATGAGGGGAAGCCATGTGATGGTCAAAACCAGACCCAGTTGCTCAGTGAGTCACCTGGCAGCAGTCCTACTGTACCTTTGCTCTGTTGGGACGTGCAGCAGCCCCCCTCTGGGCCTCCACACTTCTCCCTCAATGACGACACCTCCTTCTCCAGCCTCTCCAGACGGTCTCGCAGGGCAGCAAACTCGGCCTCGCACCCGCCTCCGCACGACCCTGGAACCAGTCGGATTCGATAGGTAAGGACTAGAGGAGAACCAGGCTCAAGGTCCAGTTCCTTGCCCTGGGTCTGACTGGAGCCCCCCTGAACACACGCCTCAGAGATCACCACTTTGATTGGCTGCCCACCACCCTCTGTCTTTGTGTCCCTGGGTGCCCTTTGATCCCCAGTCTGCAGGCTCTGGGAACCTGACGGGGTCAGGAGGGCAGGGCAGGCGAGGAGCAGGAGGAGGAAGGATGGGACAAGAAGCATTTTGGGCTGGAAGTTGCCTTCAGGTGGAGGGGAGGGCAATTGTCTTTGTTGGTTGAAGAGAAACTGATAGTAGACCACTTCAAAAAATGACAGTTTTCAAGGAAAGGCTGGGGCAGAGGGATAAACTCTCTGCTGTGGAGGTGCCTATAAGTCAAGGGGTTTTCTCATCAAGGGGTTGCCTTATTCATGTGAATCTGTAGAACCGTTGCCTTAAAGTGAAGGATATTCAAAGACTCCCTCGCCACTGTATCGCAGGAATTTCCCTAGGAAACAAGACAGTTAAGAATAAACATTCCGCTGAATTCATGTAAGCACAACAACTATCACAGTGGCTATAGTGAGCTGGAATATAATTTTAGTTGTTTATGGCCCTGTCAACACAGCATGTTAGCTTGGAAAAAATATTTTTGTCTTGAAGACTAATTCAATATACTCTGCGACCAGCGTTCCTATTTTCCTATGGCAACGTGGTTGTGGCACATGTGGAACCACGGACTGGTTCTGAACAGTTTGCCATTCACTAACAGCCCATTATAAGGATGGGGTTCATCCCCAGGCCCAGTTGGTATGGGTTAGGCTTGTGTTTGGACAGGGTAGAGCCATGCAGGATAATGTGGTTTACCGGTTGGACCCAATAAGGTAACTTTCCTCATTCCAGCAGGGGGTTTGGATGCAATGGTCTGACCTGGAGCCAGAGTCTCAGTCCGTGCCACGTAGGCCAGTGGAAGTGTACTCACAATCCCTCCCTCTCTCACCTGACTGAACCCTAACCAGCCTATCCTCAGTCCTCTCAGCAATGGCATTTCTCATACCTTCTGTGTATCACAATAAGGAATGCCATGGCTGCCCTATCACCAGCCTAATGCATCAACCTACTATGTGTCCAGTAACCTGTACTATGTATTTTCTAAATGAACTAGGTTGTCACAACCTACCTAACTTCCCCAGAATGTATATGCACAAAAGTGGATTCTGTTCAAATTATCTGTGCACACACAGTACAGCTCAAATTACATTCCTCTCAATGCATAAACCAGGCCCTGCCTTTCCCAACCTGGAAATGCAGGACCATTCAAGAGCAGCATAACGTCATAGCACCTAGAGAGTTGAGTGAGAGATATAGATAAATATATGGAGATAAAAAATGAGGGGGTGAAATGGTAGTAAAGGAGAATAGGAAACAAAGTAGCAGCGGGAAACGACAACAGGTTATTCCATTTTCGGCAGCCTGCAAAAAGCTCATAAATCGAGGCCCTCGGAGGGCAAGTATCTTGTCAGCATGAGGAGACTCACAGACACTCATCACTCAGGGATAGACTCACTCAGTCCCTCAGAGCTACTCTGCCTCCAATCCCGCGAGGCTATGAATCTCAGGGTTTACAATCGTATAATATCTCTGGCACGGGAATACCAAAACTTCACACCAGCCTTACTCACAGTCACAACATATGGCTAACATCACAGAGGGAGGGAGGAAGGGAAGTAGGAAGGAAGGAGAGGATTAGGCAGAGGAAAAAACACTGAAGTGGACCTAGCTACTACAGTGATTGTTGCTACTGTGCTAGCTGACTAAACTCAACTCCATGGTGAAGGAAGTTCTGATGAACTCCACCAACGGAGTTGAGCAGAGACCAGGCTTTGTGGAATTCAGCTCCGACTACATCGGCCCAAGGTCAATACTTCAAAACATTTAAATTATGAAACGCTTACCTTGTACCTATGTTTGTCCTCTGTAGTTTCGCGCCTTTCTTTGTTGGCTGAAATCCATACTTTTTCAATAAATGTTAATCAAATACAACCACCGACTGTTTGCTCGTTTCTGTTTCTCGAAGATGGCAACTCAGCGTGAATGCCTAGGTCACCAAATACTCATTGTCCAATCAAATCACACAATCTAGGCCTAAATCATCTGAGATTAAATTGGCACATGCGCATTCGTGCTGAGTTGCCATCTTCGAGAAACCGAAACGAGCAAACATTCGGTGGTTGTATTTGATGAACGTTTATTGAAAAATTTCAGCAAACAAAGAAAGGCACGCAATTACAGAGGACAAACATAGGTACAAGGTAAGGGTTTCATAATTTTCATAATTTATTGACCGTGGCGAATCGATTTGTAGTCGGACCTGAATTCCATAATGCTGCATCACTGCTCAACTCTATTGGTGGAGTTCATCAGAAACTTCCTACACCATGGAGTTGAGTTTAGTCAGCTACTACTGCGCGTACTGCCACCTCTCTGAGTGATAGGCAGCATGGTGATTTTAACAGTGTAGCTGCTGTTTCCAACTCTCTGTGATTTCCATCCTGGTCTGGAACTCAGCAGTAGACTCAAAGTACCGACATCATCCAACAGTTTCCTTATTAATACCTGTCACAGCTGGTAATAACAGTCACAAAATAAAGCAATATATTTCACAGCACTTCTGTCTGCAGAAATCTTAGTCAAATGCACTGTGAAGTGTTTTTCCAGTTGCTTTGAATCCTTTTTGGGCTTTTGCACCATCTTCCCACAACCTACCTTCCTCCCCTCTCCAGCTCTCTCACATTCAAGCACACTCATACACACATACAAATGCCTGTCAATACACCTTTGTAGAGTGGTGTTGAATTGTATAATGCATGCTTTTGTATATTGGCACTAGTCACACACTGTCTTCCATTGAAGTCTACACAGACACTATGAAATACAGTACATCACAGACTTGTGTAATAAAACGTTTACAGGCCAAAGTCATATGGATTCTATCCTACCTATAGCATATTTAAAATCATTATTCAGTACTTACACTATGCATTGCTTACAACTGTACAAATGTACATATAGGATGATCAGATAATAATGTACTCTGCTCTACTTTTATTAATATAACTAATTATTAATTGAGTTATTCTTATTGATATGATTTAACCATCTCTTGCATTTGTCAATATTCATTTTAGAATAAAAGCATTGGTAATGTAAATACAAATGCATAGGGCTTACCTGGATAGACTCTACCTCTCTCCCTGACCAATGTCTGTCAGTCAGTCCAAAGCTCCCTCTCCCCGACCAATGTCTGTCAGTCAGTCCAAAGCTCCCTCTCCCTACTCTTGGGAAGCTCTGATTGACTGACCATGAGAAGGGGAGGGGGAATAGGAGAGTGGGAGAGTGAAGGAAAGAGAGAGGGGAGGAGAGCAGTAACATTTTCTCATACTTCAAGAATTTGTCCTCCCTCTCTCACTTCTCTTTCTCTCTCATCTCCCTCTTTTTCTCTGATGTAATTCTATGTGCTTTACGGGTCCCTTTTGGGCGGTGGATTTCGATGGAAAACATCTGAAATTGTTGATGTTTTGAACGACTGGGACTAATCTTTAATATCGTTTGAACTCATCTTTGTCCTCTCCTGCGACACTTTATGATGTTAGTGAGACATTCCTCATTATCTTCCATTTGTTATTTTTTGGCAGTTGACAAAACCTACATTTTCATATCAGTCATATTTGCTTCTTCAGACAGTACATTTGCACATAGGGCTTGTGGGTGCATCTTTTTTTCAGACTTTTGCTATATGCATCCTCGCTGTATTCTCTGTACTCTGTATGGCCGTAATAAAAACAGTCGTAATATATTTCATTTGTGCTGTGGATTAAATGTTGTTTTAGGCTTTAGGGGTATTGAGGGATTCTGGGAAGTGAAAATATGGATTTGTCTGATATCTGTCGTAAGGAAACGGGAGACATCTCTAACTTGATGTCTTTTATAGATGCATGGTTAAATGTATGAAAAGCTCACGGTAAAGTAAAGTCAGATGGCATAAACAGATAGCACCATGAATCGGCTATCTACCAACCCATAGCACATCCCCAACTTCCTTCTGCTATTCTCATAGTAAGCACTCTCGTCTTCCAAAAGTATCTCACCCTAACTTGCCTAGTATCCAGCCCTACCCTCGCATAATAGACTACCCTCTTTTCCAACTCCGAAACCATAGAAACACATCCTTAGTCCCACAATAGTGCAACTCCTCATCCATCCACTCATCATTGTCCTCCATACTTTCTCACCTGCAGTATCGTCCACATTCTCACCCCAAAGTAGTTTCTAGTTTTTACAGATGCCGTCTTTCTCACTTGTTGTTACCACTCCCACGTGATTAATGTTCTTTCCCTTGCAATCTGAGTAGCCTACAATTTGAAGATCTCCATTGGCAAGATATTCTGTTGTGGTTTAAACCATCTACCAGGGTAGGGGTCATTCCTTTTGAACATTTTTGATTTGTAAGAATCATTTCAATTGAAATGAATTAGAAATGAATTTGAGTGTTTGTCACTTTCCCATCCTTCCTCCTCCTGCTCCTCGCCTGGCCACCCTCCTGACCCCATCAAGTTCACAGAGCCTGCAGACTGGGGTCGAAGGGCACCCTGGGACACAAAACCGGAGAGGAAGAGGCGAAGCCCAAAATCTGTTTATGAAAACAAGACCACGAAGTGGGGAATTTTTGTATGGAGTTGAATGAGAGTTTAGAATGTGGTCAACAAAAAATGTAATTGCTAATTTGCTATATGAGGCTTATTTGATCTAATAGAAGTTTCGTAATGGTTAGGTAGTTATGAATGCACTGATATAAGTGGACGCACGTGGCATTCCGGATACTTTGAAAAAAACTACTTTAAATCGGAGTTGTGCCTGTTGTTCACACGCGTATCTGCCCTCTCATTGGCTAGAATAGTCCCACCTGATTTTGCCTCCTCCTGCCTGCCTTCCATCTTTGAGGACATGTATTTCCATTGTTAGAGCGGTCACTCGACTATCTTGTCAATATAATCAATAATCTTTGACAACACCAGAGGGTGCCAGGCAGCCAATCAAAGTGGTGATGTCAGAGGCGTGTGTTTCAGTGGTGTTTCACCTCAATTTATGGTTGTGTTTAGGATGGAATGGACATAACCCGGTGCAGAATTTAATTTGGGCATCCCACTCAGGGACAGGAGTCTAATTTGAGTCAAGTCATATACTT